TCTATAAACAGGTCTGATAGATATGAGTAATGGTGTTCGGATTTACAGCATGTCAGTGAAGGATGCTAAGAGGATCTTTGTGTCCGATCATTGTTATCTCTCGAGGATTGCTGACATTCGTATAAGTGAAATAAACTTGAATAACTGCCAGATTCCATTCTGGTTGTGCTTTTCTTAACTAAACTATTACTCTCACTATTTAATACTCCTATTAACTTATTTCTATTCAATTACGGTATTTTTCACTTTTTGTATTCATCTTTTTTCTATATCTTCACGGTTTCATTTTTATTTTGTGGTAAATATATATTTTCATGTATGTTTTTTGTTTTACCAATTTTTACGTTTAAATAATTAAGGAAATCATTGTTTTCTTTCCATCACTTTGTAACATATCGTTAGTTACAATATACTAGCATGTTAAATATTCAATTTTCTTGATATAGATAACAAGTGAATATATAATTTTTTTATGATTTTATGTCATCCACCTTAATTTTTAGTTATCTCATTAAATTTACCTAACAATTTAAACAATAACATTATATCGCTTAACCAAAACTGATGACTATAAAAGCGTTTGTGTATGATATAACTGGAAAATGAATATCGTATATATGGTGTTTGTATAAAACGATAATTGCTGCTTGTGTTATTGGTGATTTTAGTATAGTACGTTTACATTTGTCCACATCTTTCTTCTCTGTTCAATCGTTCACTTATTCAAAGACAATAAAGTGTGTTTTAAACAAATCCAGTAGTTTCTATATCGTACTTAATCACATTCAATATTACTATTTATTTTAATATATCACTCAATGACTTTGAAATCTTTAAAGAATTTTTAAATGATAAATTCACGTTGGACTGAAATATGTTCATTAAAGTAGATTAAGTAATGAGACAAAAATAAATCTTGGAGGTTGTTGAATTACCGTAGCAGTGATATATTAATAACTTATTCATTGTGATTTTATGACGTGGGTTTAAGTCATTTGTTAATACATAATTCAACAAAACACAATAAAATCGCATTATTTTACTTAGTAATTATGTTAATTGAGTTTCATTCTCTATTTTAGAAAAAAATATCGTTTAACAAACTATTGAGAAATTTGATGGCTATGAGTATGGAGCGTGCTACTTATATTGATATAAGTAGTATATAACATGAGTCAGGAATATAATGTCTGGCAGCAGAAGATGGGGAAGATCAAGAAGGAAGAACGCGAATAGAAAGAAATTAGTATGGAAATGCAAGAAGAACGAAGTTCGAGACAATTATTGAACATTTTGCAAATTAATTATTATAGTATGGTTTTTCTATTTAACCAAGTAACTCGGTAACTGTGTCAAATATAATTCGGTTGCCCTCACCTGTGTTCTCCTTCACTACATGAGCAGCGAATTCTTTGGGATATACTTAAAATTCTGTTCATGTGTTTACTTCTCTTTGCTTTAAAACTACATAATTTAGTACATACATTCGATGTAGTCCATTATATTAAAAGCTGCCAACACCAAATTTCATAGTCAAAGACGTTATTTATAATTTTTTTTTGTTTTTTTTTTGTTATGCCCCGATAAAAATAATCAGAATATACTTCCCATTCCAAGCTTGGACTTCTCCCTCTAGTTAGCTGGGCTGGGACGCATCAAATAGCTAGCTTACTGATCTTTGGTCACTGAGTCTTTGTTCTGGTTCTCAGATTAAGTGAACTCGTGATAACCTCAACCCTAGCAGTTTTTGATTTGGATGTTGTTTAACTACTCAATATAAGTACAATTATACTTGTTATATTAAACAGTAGCATATCAGTTAGATCATATTTCAGGCTTAGAAAACTTTTAGATTATAAATATATTAAGCAGTTTATAATAAAACTGTCTAGATTAATTTTAATTGACAGATTTCAGTCATATATAAAGTAGTATAAAATCTTCAACTAACAATTTCTATATTCATTAATATGACGATTGTGTCAGTTGGTTGATACTAAATTGAATAACAATTTTATGTATCTTTTTTTAAATTTATAATCATGCTGTTTATTTGAATGAATACTTCGTTGTATTTAAATATGTTTGACGAATCTCATTTTGGTTCACTTAAACAATCAATTATCATTTGTTATTCTTTACATTTTCAGATTATGAACTAAAAAATAGTTAAAAATAATTCAATTCATTATACCCGCCTTTTTTTTTCTAAAAATTTGATGTATAGTAAATTCCATGTTTGGTTTAACTATAATATAAAATTGAACAGTTAGTGATCAGGTATGTGTTTAATAACCGTAAAGAGTTTGTATAAATCGACTCATTAATTTAACTATTGAATTATTATTATATCCACAAATTCCTATTCTGATAATCATCATCATTTATTCACTAGTGATTGATTTCAAGAGGTATTTCCTAGTTCTAGTGAGGAGCTGCGAACAGTGGAGTTGAACCGTGTCTGTTGTGAGGTAGTTACTCATTGAAGACAATGGTGGACGGTGGCGCAGATTGATTGAAGTTAGACATTAACACGATTGGATGTCGGCTCAGTGGTCTAGTTGGTTAAGCGCCTGGCGCGAGACTGATAGGTCCGCGGTTCGAATCTCACGGGGTGCGGGATCATGGATGCGCTCTGCTTAGAAGTTCCGTACTAGGAGGAGACAGCCGTTCAGTGCTTCCAGGTTCTCACTGGTGATTTAGCATAAATCGACTCATGAATTCAACTATTAACTTATTATCGATTTTATAGTAGTAATTTATCAAAATAATTGACTTTTTTGAGCATTCTTACTTTGTCAACTTGCGCATAGCTAATAAAGTGATTTATTCAAATTAAACTAAGATAAAAAAACCCATTAATTTATCCGTCATATACGGTCTTTGTAGAATGAATTGTTCATTTGATACGTTTAATACTTAATTCTTACTCTATGATAGTTAAATAGATAAACTTCCATTCTAAGTATTGAACTTTCTGAGCATCATACAAATACATATTTCAGTAGTTTAGATCATGAGTCAATTAGAGCTAGACCACCATGGAGAACCTGGAGGCACTGGAAGGCCGTTTCGTCCTACTGTGAGACTCAGCAGTGCGCATCCACGATCCCGCCTCGCGAGATTCGAACCCAGGACCTGTCGGTCTCGCGCGCGAACGCTTAACCTCTAGACCACTGAGCCGGCATCCATTAACATTATTATTTGATTTGAGCATCTGATTGTTTCTGGCCTGTGTGCTGCATCAAAAGGTGTGTTGTGAATCAACCTGACATCGTTAAATGAATCCGAGAAATGAGGTAACGGATTGACCGATCATTAAAAAAATCTTTAAAATCATGAAGATTTTGAGATCTGTCTCTCACAATGTACTACAATCTCATTTCATTTTAGGTAGCCTTTAGGATACAACGATGATAGGAGATAAATATAACATCAGCTGAAAAATTAAATTGTACCAATTATAGATAACATTTCATCAAGGAAATAAACGCTCTCTTCACTTTTTCATACGTAAAGATAAACTAGCAGTGAAGTAACGCTGTATCACTGATATCAAGACGCGTTGAAAACCATGGACATGTATTCGACTGGAAAAGCGATGAAATGTTGAATTGATGTAATTCCAGAGAATTATTATAAGTATGTAATCCAAATCAATCGGTCATCAATAAGCAAGTCGATTTACGTTATCTATCAACTTATATGATAAAGATGAGTTTTGACCACGGAGTATAAGGTCAACTGAACAACACAGCTATTAGTAATGTGAGTAAAAAAAATTTACAAAGACAACTGATCACAAATTTTTGCAGAATAAATAAAATAAATCACTTCGATACGCATGAGGCTCTGATGATTGTGTTCAAAGCGACAATAAAAGTTCCACCATCTCTTTCAAAGAAATCAATATCATCAAAATATCCTAATGCCTTTTAATCACTCCTGTTTATTTTTCCACTTATTTAGATCTATAAAAATGTAACACCTTTGATTAGCAGATGAATGTACGAAAAATCGTTCAATCTCCAATATGTTTTAATAGATATTTCTGTCCATAATAAACAATCATTTGTCTTATCAGAAGGAGTTTGTGGAGATTTTAGAAATTTCACAGATTGAGATCATGAGTCAATTAAAGCTAGACCACCATGGAAAACCTGGAAGCACCAGACGGCCGTTTCGTCCTGATTTTCATCAGATTAATAATTCATTTCAAATTATTAAACGTAACAGCATTAGACATTTTTTATATACATCAGTTGATTCTTTGGTTATGTTATTGATGTTGATATGAACATTTTACCATATCAATCATTCACTATGAATTTGATCACTTCTGATCGCGTAATATAAAGCTTTTAAACATTTGACATGACTTTCAAATGCATTAAATTCATTAACCATTGATATGATCTATAAAATAACAATCTATATTATGTCTAATAATAATAATAATAATAATAATTTACTAGTCAACTAATAAAATTTTTAGAAGGGGTTTGTGGAGATTTTAGAAATTTCACTGATTGAAATCATGAGTCAATTGAAGCTAGACCATCATGGAAAGCCTGGAAGCACTGGACGACCGTTTTGCCCTAGTATGTGACTCCTCAGCAGCGCGCATCCACGATCCCGCATCCCGCGAGATTCGAACCGAGGACCTATCAGTCTCGCGCCAGGCGCTTAACCAACTAGACCACTGAGCCGGCATCCAATCGTGTTAATGTCTAACTTCAATCAATCCACGAAGTTGCGCCACCGTATACCATTGTCTTCAGTGAGTTGATATCTCACAACAGACCTGGTTGAACTCCACTGGTAACGGCTTCTCACTAAAACTTCAGGAGTATTTCTTGAAATCAATCACTAGTGAGCAAATGATTATTATCAGAAGGGGTTTGTAGAGATCTTAGAAATTTCACAGATTTAAATCATTCGTCTACTTATTTTTTAGCGCTCTCTTTCATTTATCTACATTCAAAGATAATAAATATCAATTATTTAAATAATAGAACTTTTCAAATTTATTAATTCATAAATTATTAAAAGACAAGCTATATGTTGTCAACTTCATTTCATTTTTATTTCATATCTTCTTTAACCAAATCTTAAAGCAGTAGGTACTCTTGGATGTATCAATTTTTGTAAACCACCAGTTTTCATTTCATTCATTAATTTATTCCATAGATATTTTTCAGCTGTCATTGTTAAATATCGTTTAATTGTTAATGGATATTGTCTTTTGATATATTCATTATCATTGTTATTATTACTAAAAACATCTGAAATTTAAATGAAAATGTATATTAAAGTATTAAGTAAATAAACTACTTACTATTTCATGATATACATAGATTTTTGTACAGATTAAAATAATTTATCAGAATGGGTTTTGTAAAGATTTTTTTTAGAAATTTCACTGGTTAAAATCATGAGTCAATTGAAGCTAGACGATCATGGAAAACCTGGAAGCACTGGACGACCGTTTCGCCCTAGTATGTGACTCCTCAGCAGCGCGCATCCACGATCCCTCATCCCGCGAGATTCGAACCGAGGACCTATCAGTCTCGCGCCAGGCGCTTAACCAGTGCTTGCAGGTTTTGCATGGTGATGTAGCTTCAATGGACTCATGATTTCAACCAGTAAAATAGTTTACACCATTCTTATTATTCCAATAATGTTCAATCATATTTTCACTTAACTGTTAATAGTGTTACTCATAATTGAAATTTTCATATCAACCATGTTTCATGTACAATATAAGTATTTATCTCAGATCTTTATGTTGGATTGTAAATTATTGTACACCTCTCAGTATTCAACGGTTATATATAGATATGGAATTTAATGTATTTTAGTACATTACATAGATATTACACATAAAATTTTAACATTGAAGTTCATTTTACTGAGAAACTGTTGTAATCATAATTCATTTTGTGTTATTTTACTTGTATCTTTTCATTGTTATTTTGTGACTGCAATTGATCAGTCTCATGTTGGTATATGTGCATCCTATGCAGATTGCCTCAATATAACCTTAAGTCACAAGCTTTTTCCACTGCTAGCCACTATCCATCTTTGTTTAAAAAATGTTGTAATTATAATTCACTATTTTATAAACGTCAAATGCAGGGTATTCATCATGAGAATGACACATTTTGTAACGGCTAAATATTTCTAGTTGCTTCATGTTTTATTGTAATAAATTGTAAAGAGATTATGTTTGATTGATAAACACCAAGTATAATATCATTGTATGATATTGATTGAATCATTAAAGAGATTACTATCAATACAAGTAAAACCATCTACTTACATTTATTATTTACACTTCCTATTATTTATTTTCGTTTATCCTGTACAATTCAACAGTGTTTAATTCACTATAATTTGAATGATTTCATAGTCAATCTTTGATAGTTAAAATATACGAATTAGAAAATTAAACACTAACGAGTTTATTCATTTGAACTATAAATCTTTATTCAGACTCTTTATAATGAATATTATTTCGTTGCTGAAAAATGAAGCAGTCTTAATTTTTAGAACTACTTTTCTACTAATGGAGTTAATTTCAACTGTATATTCTCCTACTTTAAAGATAATACATTTGAATATAGTTGTTAGCGCGACGTAGATTGGATTAAAGCATACTCAATACACGACTGCTTCGCCATACGCTGATTGGCTAATTCTTAACCAATCAGAGCTAGCCGATGTTTGGAAAACTTGAATCTTCTCACATAAAAAAACTATAAATATACTAATATTTCTCCTATTGTCCTTCTTACTTCCATCTAACCTTGTTATCTGGAATATAATCTTTTTCCTGTTCAACCGTGTTCTGATTTGAGGACTTGTCGAGTGAATTAGTGTCCAAGAATACTAAGCAATAGGAATAGCTGGATTGTAATAAGGGTCTATGTTAAATAACTAGTTAGTCGATTGGTAAATTAGTTCTATTATTTATAATCATATAAATACTTATAATTAATCTAAATAACCTTTAAGATGATTAACCTATTTTCTGGTATTTAAACGTTTTCTATTGAATAGAATAATATGAATATTACCATTAGTGTTATAATGGAAAACAATCAAAATTCTTTGTCATTTTTTTTAAAAACCAAAAAAAGAACATAAACATTTCTTTTTACTAATCGATATATGTATCTATGTATAGTGTTTTACGTAAAACAGATTCATTTTTGACGACCATAGACACATCGAAATTCAATAGATCAGTTAATAATCTACCATTGAAATCTAATTCTTCCCAAGCAGTTTATACATAAAAACAGAACTTGTTTGTATATCTAAGTATGATATACAAAAGAAATAAAATTTTCTACATTTAAGTTATAAATTCAATATATATATATATATATATATATATATATATATATATATATATATATATATAATAAATATAGATATTAGTTTAGTTAGTGAAGATTTGATAGCATTCTCATGATAGTATTTGTGCACATATTCATATATATACTTTGACCACTTGATTACGTACTATATATATACTTGTGAGTGTTTATGTATTTGACTGCGTACAAGCGTGTGTATGGAAAGAATTGAATGGGCATGAATTTAGGCACATGTTGTGGTAAGTGTTAGCTAGAGAAAAGTAAAAAAGGTGTACTGTTTAATCCATAACATTTTCCTCGCTCTCATCTTAATAAAATGGACAAATCACTTCAGAATATGAATGTATCAAACGATTAGTACATTTGAATCATAGTGAAATAACTTGAAATTTATTCTATTCCCCTCTAAATAAAATTAGAAATTATATTAATGTTGTGGTGTTTGCTACTTATATTGACATAAGTAGTATATGATGTTAGTCGTGAACAGAAGGTCTGGCAGCAGAGAGACAAGAAGATCGAAAAGTAAAGAATCGAAACAGAATGCAATTTGTATGAAAATGCAAGAACAATGATGTTTGAGTGATTTTGAGACAATTGGTGAATATTTTGCAAATTAAGCATTTACTTTATGATTGTTAGATTTTATTAGCAAGTCCTGTAATTTTGTGTCAAATACATTCGATTGTCCCCACTGGTGTTCTTGTTCACTACAATGTAGCTGTTTGAAATTCAAATATTCACATAAAATCGAAAGAGGAACTTTCGAAAAAACATATAACCACAAGGGAAAGGATTAAATGAAGATAGTCAAAGACACATTCTATTACATTTATGGGTAAAGTAAACACATCCGCATATCGTTATCTCTAAACAATCAACTACAGTGTACATTAGATTTTTATACTGGACTGTTAACAAAATCACAACACAGAAGTTTATTTAAGCATAAAGTGACCAGTATAAATCATTGTACATTGAATGAATAAATATGTATTGTTTAAAGCACTGATTTTTCGTTGGTACATTTTAATAAATCCAAAATTACGACATCAAAATTCGACCAATATCTATTATTGAATATGAATAAAGTTATCATTCAAGATAAATAAGGTGGAATAAGATTAAATTGACTGCTTTATAATGACTGTATCTAGATTTGAAACTTGTCAATAATATGAACTAAGATGAAACAGATAACAAGTACTTTGTAGGAATCATATTTTTTCTACTTTATTCCAGTTCATGAAGAAAAATATACTCGAAATGAATAAATCTACTTGAATTACACAAGTCAAACATGCTTTCGTGTTAAGGGGTTAAATTAAGCAAGCGAAAAATTTAGAGCATTGAAAACAAAATGAAGAAAATCTGAGATGGTGAAGAAGATTTGTAGCTGAAGTGGATGATTTTTATCAGAAGAAAACCTACTTTATATAAAAATATGAATCAATGTTATATATAGTATTACTGTAAAGTAGTATAAATAACCGATAGACTCCATGACGTGTTATTATTATCGTTAGTACTACATATAATCAGTTGTGTTTTGTTCTTCGTTTATATTCTTTTCCCTCCAAATTGATGACTGTAGGTTTTGATAAGCTATTAAGTTATAATTGTTTTAAGACACTGGGAATCCCTTAACAATACTCTTTCATAATCCTACATATATATATATATATATATTTCATACTTCAAAAAATAGTTAAGAATTGGTTCATTGGATTATTCCATAGAGTGTTATTATCAATTACCTTGAAGTTAATTAATTCAAATCATGATATGAATATATAGTTGTGTTTTTTTGTTGTTTGTTATCCATCTTCTACACACGAACTCATTTGTTTTTTGTTCAAATTTACTTATCAAATCCATTGAATGATCAAGCTGGGAATAATTTAATCAATTTCTTTTGACACCTTAATTTGTTTTACTGTTTTCTCTTTATCTGATTACTTAATCGATAAAAAGTGACCCATATTTATCATTATTATTATTATTACTGAACGGATTTTATTAAACTTGTCTTATATGTTAGTACTTACGAAAATGTACCTTCATTTAATTACTGAAAATTATTACTTTTTATTTATTATTTAACATAAGTTATATATATCAATAGTATTGTGGTGCGTGCTACTTATATTGATATAAGTAGTATATGACGCGAGTCAGGAATGTAATCTCTAGTAGGAGAAGATGGGAAGATCAAGAAAGGAAGAGCGGGAATAGAAAGCAATTAGTATGGAAATGTAAGAAGAACGAAGTTCGAGACAATTATTGAACATTTTGCAAATCAAGTATTATATTATTATAGTTTTTTTATTTTACCAAGTAACTCTGTAATTTTGTGCTAAATATAATTCGGTTGTCCTCACCTGTGTTCTCCTTCACTACAGTATAACAATGTAGATCATAAATGCCTAATATCTATTGCTTTGAAAAATGCAAGAATTTTCTTTGCATTCAAGGATTTTTTCAGGGAAATATGATTGTTTGCTGTATATTTCATATTTAATTTTTATTACTATCTAAAGTTAACATGAAACTATCATTTCACTTAAGGATTACAACCTTCTAAACACTGAAAACTGACTTTCAATGGTAAAACGTAACTTATATAGAGTTAGTTTAGTTGGGAGTAAAATAGTTGCGTAATGAATTGATTAAAATTTAGAAACTCAGTTAATGGGATTTCAGTTCAGTGATGAGTAAGCATAATGTTCACAGTAAGTTATAAAGCTTCTAGAGTTATTTGCCATATTTCGTAATAGATATGTACTGTTTCGTCTGAGAATAAATTGTTGTTCAACGCTCACCAATTTTCACTTATTTTCCAGCTAAAGTCAGTGTATAATGAAAATAAAAAAATAAAATTATCAGTTAAATAAGTCGAT